GTGCACACCTCCTGCTAGCGTAACTCTTCTCCTGCCCAGCTTCTGGGAAGCCTGACTTCCTCCACTGCCAGTAATTCCTGTGTTTTTTTTCTTCTCCGGCTTGGGTGTGTGAAATGAGAGCTGTATTATGGAAGCGGCTGACAATTAGAGCAGCGTTTGGCTTCGCAGAAGGAAAATCTGCTGGAAATTATTCCAGTGGAGTCGGTAGCGGGTTTCCTGTGTGGAATTTAAATGAGTGGCATCTGTCGGTTTCAGGTTCACGGCCTCCCGCGCGTCGCCGCGAGGCGCTCGGTTGTGCAGGGGCGCATGGCTGCTCCCGGGGCAGCTGCATCGCAGTGACCGTGGGGCTGCATCAAGGTGACCGTGGGCTACATCATCGTGATGGTGGGGCTGCATCGTGGTGACTACATGGCGCTCGGCCACACCACGCACACCAGCACTCGAGTGCCAAGGCTGACGCTTGATGGGTGCTCGCTGCTGAGTGGTGTTTAGTATCTGCAGGTACCAACGGGGGCTACTGAATTGTCACAGGGGCTACAGCTTCTTTGACGCGTGGTTGCTCCTCAAGCTGCTGCTCACTGGTGTCCCCCGGGGTGCAGAGAGACGCTCTCTCAGGTGCTGCGGCGCCTCAGAGGATGCCGCCCTGGAGCGCGGCCTGGGCTCTTTGGGGACAACCAGGGACAAGCGAAGCCAGTAGGGGTTCAGGCAAGTCCGGCAGGGTGTTTCATGACCAACTCCATGGCTTCTTTGTTGATGGCCAACTCCATGCCTTCTTTGTTGACCAACTCCATGGCTTCTTTCTCCTGCCCCAGCGAAAGCCCATCAGGAGGCGTTTCCCAGCCACCATTGAACGGCACGTCCGTTTTCCACGGGCGATGGGGTCAGGGCTGCTGGGGGCAGGGCCGGGGGCCAGGCACAAACACTTGTGCGGAGCCCGTGGTCGCTCGGCGCAGGGTGACCCTGTTTCGAGGGCGGCGCTGCGGGGGCGGCGGGTCTTGAAAGTGTGGGGACGGGTCCCCACAGAGGCAGCTCCACTCCCCTTGCTGCCCGTGGCTCGGGGAGACCGCGGCGCTGGGCACTGCTCCGGCCCGTGCCCTCCCGAGCCGTGTCGCGGGTCCCGCTCCTGCTCCACCTGTGGCCTCCCGAGCTGTGTCGCAGGTCCGGCTCCCTCTCTGGCCCGTGCCCTCCCGAGCCGTGTCGCGGGTCCCGCTCCGACACGTGGCCTCCCGAGCCGTGTCGCGGGTCCCGCTCCCGCTCCACCCGTGGCCTCCCGAGCCGTGTCGCAGGTCCCGCTCCTGCTCCGCCTGTGGCCTCCCGAGCCGTGTCGTGGGTCCAGCTCCTGCTCCGGCCTGTGGCCTCCTGTCGCGGGTCTCGCTCCCGCTCCGGCCCGTGCCCTCCCGAGCCGTGTCGTGGATCCGGCTCCCTCTCCGGCCCGTGGCCTCCCGAGCCGTGTCGTGGGTCTGGCTCCCACTCCGGCCCGTGTCCTCCCGAGCCATGTCGTGGGTCCGGCTCCCGCTCCGGCCTGTGACCTCCCGAGCCGTGTCGCGGGTCCCGCTCCCGCTCAGGCCCGTGCCCTCCCGAGCCATGTCACGGGTCCAGCTCCCGCGCTGCTCTGTGCTCGCACGCTGCCCATGATTTGAATGCCTGTTTAAATTTTGACGAAGACCTGCTCTTTATTTTTTTTCCTTCTTCTTCCCTTCTCCCAGTTGCTTCTTTCCGCAGGCGTCGGCCTGAGCCGTGAGGTCCGGGAGGGCTCGCAGAGCGTCCATGGCTGCGGCCACCGCCAGGCCGCAGAGCGGCCATTTTGTCCACGGAGCTCCGTGTGGCCCCAGCCCTGCCCTTGCTTGGTGAGGGAACCGGCCTGCGACGGCGCCGCCTCCGCACGAGGCGACATCCCCGTGGGATCAGGAGCTCGGTGCATGGAGGTGTCTGGGGAAAAGGCAATTAGAGGTCCCCATGAAGAAGGGAATTGCATCTGCAGGGCTCTGGCTGTGCAAGGCGGCGCGCCTCCCAGCGCTGGGGTCTCGGTGCAGAACCATGGCCGCGGTTCTGGTCCCTGGCTGGAGAGACACCCTGGGCACCCAGTGCCTCAATGCGCGGGAGGACTTAGCACCTCAACCTCAGCGCTCAGGAGGAGAAGCGGCTTTCTCCAGGAAACAGGCAGCGGATGCAGTTCTGCAGCCCGCTCCGTCTGCCTGGTGCTCAGGATCGCAGGTTGGTTGTGTCCCATCTTCCTCCACCTTCCCTTGTGGAGGAGGTTCCTGTTGACGCCTTCAGGCCGTGGGGCCTCGGCTGCGGAGGGACCGCTGGGGATCTTGTTTCCTTTGGCTCCTTCCGTCCTGATGGTTCTCTGCCCCGGGTGACAGGGCTGTCTTCCCACACAGCCATTCCCTGGGGTACGTATCGGAGCTGCTTCCTCCGAAATTCCATCCCTGGGATCAAACCTGTGCACCCGAGGGGAGCGACTGCGAAACCTTGCAGCTCCTTCCCCTGCCACCCTCACCAGAGAACCGAGAGTGAACCATGGCTCATCTCAGCACCTCTGAAATTCACTAGGAATGCATGGATAAATCCATGGGGATAAAAGGTGGGAATTCCCCGGGGCCCTCCCTGCATCTTCTGTCAGTTTATGTGGTGGGAATCTGGTGGCGAGAAAGGACTCGCCACTGTCACATAACTCATGTTTATGGAAACCTCACCCTGTCCTATCCCAACCACGAAAGCTCCCTGGCCAAGGTAACAGAAGCGGTTTAAATAAGAATAATAAATCAAGATGGTCCGGGGTGGGGGTAGGCAGCCCCACAACCTGACGTCTCTTTTCATCTAGCACCATCCAGCTACTTTATTCCTACCTGGGAAGCAAGCGTGAGCACATTCACGCAGAGCCGGTCACTTTGGGCTTCTAAGGGTATTTGTTATCCGAGCAGTAGAGCAGAAAACCCCTGCAGTGACTTCCAGTGGAGAACCCTTCCAGAAAAGCCTCCATTCCCGCAGAAAGGGCTGCGTGTGGACACAGCTGGAACCCCAGCGTGGCACCGGGTCACTCAGGGCCCCCCGTCCTGCCCTGGCAGATACAAATGTGCCTGCAACAGGGTTGGTGCCCGGCAGCTGCGGGAAACGCAGGGAGCTTCTGCAGCGAGTTTGGTGCTTCAACTAGAGGGGCAGAGCCCTGCAAGAGTGTCTGTACCTTGGGAAAGCCCCAAACCACCTGGAAATCTTCCTCGCTGCTGGTGGGCGAGTTGTAGGCGCTTGTGTGCAAGGCCCAGTGGAGCTGGAGGTGGTTGTGAGCACCTCTGCGGGGGGGGACAGCTCTTCCCTGTCCTCTGCAGCCGGAGCCGGTGGGGCTGTCGCGCTCCCAGCTGCCCCTAGCCGAGCATCCGCCTGACAGCGCCTCAGCAAAGCCACAGCAATTGCAGGCAGTCTGTTGGAAGGGCTTTAAAAAGCTGTTTATTATCCCTGTGGGCAAGTGGGGGAAAAAAAACAGAGTAACACTGTATACAGAGAATGTCTTAGTAAATTATGACCAAGTCTTAAAGGAGGAAAAAAGAAAAGGGGTCTCTGAATTTTGGTGAACAAGGCTCTGGATGCGAGCTGCAAATATGTAGCTCAGAAATATGCAGTCAGCTCCGCAGACAGTCCTGTAACACTAGGAAGAAGGAACCGTGGCACTTGCAGTGGGTGTTAGGATGTTGTCTGGCCACAGGCAGCTCCCAACGCCAGAGGTGTCTGAATGGGAAAGCCTGGATTGGAAGGGGTGTTCAGGGATGCTCTGCACTCTCCGAGCGTCCGTGACAGGAGGACGGGATCTGCTGCTTTTAACGGTGCAGGTTCATCCTGGTAAACAAGTCTCCTTGCATCCCCAGCTCCGTGAGGCTGGCAGGACATGAACAGCATGTCAGCAAGGTGCACGGGAGTGTGTCGGTCTGGTTTGGGCTTGTCTTTTATTTTTTAAGTCGTTGAGAGGTTGGTTTTTTTTTTTTTTTCCTTTTCTTTTTCCTGTAAGGTCTTGTTTTGGCAAGTGTTTTGCAGTTGAAACCCACCTCCCGTGTAACAGTGTGCCCTTTTGCTTCAGGAACTTCAGTAAACAACTGGCTCAGGTGCAGAAATCACTCACGTTTAGCTTGATTTTCCTCTGGCACGGTCTGAAAGCCTCATCTGTCTGCCTCCCTAGGAGAAATCAGTGCCGCTAGCATGGCCAGGGAGGAAAAGCCACTGGAAAATAATGAAGGCTATATATATATTTTTATATATATATATATAATATATAAAAAATATATGTATATGTGTATGTACACACACGTATATAAAATATGTATATATTTTTTTAACTGCTGGTTTTGTGAAAAGGCTTTATGAGCATAAAACATTTCTGAGGAAGTAGTTGGAGTTGGGGAGTAGGAAAGATCTGTTACCAAATGGGAAAAGGAGAGACCTGAAGCTACAAAAAATGCCTTTTTTTTTTTTCTTTTTTTTTTCCCATGTTTTCCTTCTTGGGGCAGATTTGGGAGTGGGGAAAGGTGAGATTTGCTGGTTTGGCATTTTAATGGGAGATTCTGCTTTCCACCTGCCACGGTGTTGTGTTAGCCAGTAACCAGAGGATTGTTGCTCCAAGTTGGGGGGTAACATGGGCACATGAAGGGAAACGGATCTTGCTTTTCCACTCTGGGTTCCTTGTACATAGTATGGAGTGGAATTTGAGATACCCTTTATGAAGAATGCTTAATTTGCAGGAAAAATATCAAAAAAAGAGAGATTCCCTTGGAAGTTGGCTTCTTTTAGAGGCACTAAAAATTATGTTCTCCAAGTTAATTATTTTCTGGGAGGATGATGCCTCCTTGCTGGTTCTTCCAGTTTTACCTACACATTGCCATGCACTTTCCATTAATCTAAGTGCAGAATGAAAGCTTTCCAAGCAAATCCCAATGCTTCTGTGCGCTTACCTGTTGCTGGGAGAAGGGATTTCAGCTCAGTGCAATTGATTTCCAGTTGTCCTTTCTCCCCACTGAAGCTAGGCAACTTCATATCGGTGTATTGCCACCAGCACAGTGTCTAGGCCACGAGCCAAGGCAGTGAACAGCCTGCTAATTAATTTTTCACATTTATCTCCAGACCTCCCAGAATAAGCACTGTGGTAACAGGAGGTGGCAGTTTCCATGCAGCCCTTTGGAAATTTTAAGCAAAGGTGCTTTACTGCCAGTAGGACGATTTTATGGTGACGTGAGCGAGGGCTTTTGATTGAAGAAAAGTAAATGTATTGGCTTCAGTGTGGAAAAAAAAAAGATTACTGAAAGTAATCTAGGCCCGAGGTATTCATTTCTCCATAAATTCAGTGCCTACAATGCAGGGCCTGATTTCTAGGCAGGAGACAAATATTCATGGTGAAAGCAACAGTAAGTACCACACAGCTCCTACAGATGGTTTATGTTTTCAGCAAGGCTATGCATGCTGATGCTTCTGTTAGGAGGAATATAATACTGTGAGTTTACGGAGTTTGTGCATCTTGCACCCATATATATCTTTATACATATAAATAAGTTAGAGATTATTTACATCACTGTACAGTGTAAACCTAAACTCACTTATCAAGATGCATACACCTACCAGCGGGTTTGGTCTGGTAACACTCTGCAATTCCATGTCAAAGCACCATATGAACATGAATTATTTGCCAAGGCAATTCCCCGCTCCCCAAAAGGATTAAGTGCAACAGGCAGGGCAGGGTATGGAGCTGAGGGAGTGCAGACCGTTCACAAACAGGCAGCTCATCCTGTATGGCTCTCTGGCCATGAGCAGTGCCGACTTTTGCCTTTTCCCTGCAGTCCAAGCGGAGGAGCAAGCTCTGCAACACGAATCTTGACAAACCAGGCAGGTCCTCGTTCAGAAGCAGATGATCCGTGCTTCATTCTCAAAGGCTTTGGCCTCCTCTCGGCTTATGGGGTTCCCGTTCAAACTATTGGAGGGGGGAAGAAGGGATATGAAAGGAAGGTGGTGGCTGCTTCCCCGCTTCTGTTTTCCCAGGGTTTTGGAGCAGGGATCAAAGTGCTCCAAACCCACGCAAACTACGTGCTTCCCAGGCGCAAAACTTGGGAACAAGCCTCAAAGGGGCCAACTACAGCCCCGTTCTTTCCACTGCACATGAAAAGAAAGAGCCTACTTCTCTAAAAACCAGGACTGAGCTCAAGCCTCCACCTCACAAAGCTCAAATCCTTTCCCTAGCGGTGCGGGATGCCGGCGTTTCCACGCGCTGCAGCCTTTGAGCGTGTCCAAAAGCCAACGGACCTGGAGGCTCACCTCCCGTTTCAGAAGTGTTGGCCATACCCGAGCGGGTGCAAAAGCCCCACGTTGGCTGGAGCCAAATGTCAGGTTGCTGGGATCACTACGGAAAGCAGCATGTAGTGGACAGGGGTGACATGCAGAGGGCTCGTTTATAACGAAACGAAAACGGTCTTCAGAGCATTTGGTGCCTGCCGTCGCAACCAAGGAGAAAAGCTGTGTTAAGAACTCGGGCGTTATTAATGCAAACTGACTTAGGGCAAAGTTTCCAAGTCTGGCTAAATGAAGCTAATCTACACTGGTATTTCCAGCCCCAAATATGAGCCGCCCAGTGAAGGCAGCTTTCAGAAACGCTGGATGCTGTGAAGCTGTTCCTGTGTGTGGAGTCCCTAGGGTTAATAAACACCTCTGGAAGCCTATCCAAGAGGATGGACGCGGGCCCTAGCGCCCAGAACGATGTGAGGGGGCTCTGGGCCTCCTGTGTAGGTAACAGCAGACAGTGGTCGTCGAGAAAAGCCTCTCTGCAGCCTCCCCAGGGAGGACAGCAGTCAGACACTGAGTCACCCTCTTTCTAAGCAAGAATTCGGTGTCCTTTCACTGAAGCAAATATATTCTTTAAAAAAAAAAACCCAAATTTCAAGCTCCAGAGAATGGAAGTGGCAGTGCTAAAGCCAGCTGAGTCTTATGGACTCCTCTGCTCCCTGAGGTGATGGGAGGAATGTGGCGCTTGGCTTTGTGCCACCCCATGCACGGGCATGGGTAGGTGATGCCGACCTCATCTAAAACAGGCAAATCTTGCAAAAAGTTAATCTCCTCGTAGCTTGGCACTTGGTGTGTTTGGAGCATTGCCCAAAGAAAATCCAAGCCCAAATTCTATGGACCAAATTAGTCATGTTAATTAAATGTAGCCACCTCCTACTTGTCGGGATTTAGCGCCTTAGGAGCTGCATGCACAGGTTCTGAAATCTGAAAATAAATCAGGGCAAGCAAAGCTTCGTCGATAAAATTAGCCCCCAATTCTGCAAATGCAAATATGCTGCAAGCCACACAGGGAATTAACACCGAAACAACAAAACTGCCTGATGTTCATAATGGATAGGAAGTGTTTAAATGACAGAGGCTTTTTACCTATTTGAGACCCATTGCTGAACTACACTCCCTGCCTCGCAAAAACTTGTTCTGATTTCTTTTTTTAAATATATATATATGTATATGCTGGAAAGTAATAATAGCAGAAGCATTTTAAAGGGAAAGAGGGGCAACAAAGGGAGCGCCCGAGAAGGGGATCCTTACCAGACTTCTTTAATGGCCATGTTCTCCTTGAGGGCCTCGCTGAGGTACTTCACCCCTTTGGCTGTAATTTTATTCTGGATAAGCCTAAAAAGAAAGCACAAAAAGAAAGCACTGGTATTAATCACAGAGCCGGTTAATTTCTGCTTAATGAGAAGCAGCATTTCTGTGCGATGGGGAGGAAACTCTGAGTACAGAGCCTGTGCAGGCCTAATGCCTTAGCAGTTATGATGGTTATTGGGCAGTTATGCCCAATCCACTGGTCTTGTTTATCAGGCCAGCAAGGTTATTGAAAAATAATGTGTTTGATTTGGCTGTGGTATGGGCAGGTGCAAGTCCCCATGAAGCTAATTTAGCAGCTCTAAAGTACACCTAATCTGAGCTTAGAAAAATAAAGATACAAAAGATCCTCAAGAAGCACAATTGAAGAAGCAGCAACTAATTCATATTAAATACTGTAGAGCATCTCCCTGACTGGAAAAATGACTGCTCCCTCATCTACATGAGTATAAAAATACTTGCCAGCCTACCCTAATTCATTATTTACCTTGCAGTCTACCGTGGTGCATTCCATATCTTTACTATTCCATGTGACCAGCTGAATCCCACAGGATTCAGGATGTGGCTGAAAACTGGAATGCACTGTTACGAACATCTCTCGTGGAGGGAGGAAGGAGAGAAGGATGAATTCCCATGAAAGGACAAATCAAAATGTGAAGGGACCCAGGGAGCGTCTTCACCACCAGGAAAAATACGTGGCTCTGCCTCAAGCACAAATACCTACACAGGTCATCACCTTTGCAGATACCCACTGGTATAAGCAAGAAAAGAGGATATAAAATTGCCTGCTACCAGAAAGCCTTGGGCCGTAGTGCGGCAGCATAAAGACATGTTTCTAGGGTGCTACATCCGCCAAATTGTCCAGGGAAACGTGCCAGCAGCTGTGCACAGAAGTCAAGGCTCCCACCCCGTGTTTTCAGGGCGATGGCACCACAGCAGCTACTGCTTTCAACAGAGGCTCGAAGTACCGAGCACCTCTGCCAACCAGGCTGCTTCCCAGGGGCAGGAACCGCGCAGGGAATGCTAATGTGGGGTGAGAAGGACTTGCTCTGTGCTCTGTGAGGGGCCTCTGTCTTGATGTTGCCCCATCATTGGCATGAGTGGGCAGGTGGCTGTTTCACAGCCCGTGCCTGCCAAGCCAGGACAAGCTCGTGTCACTGGGCAAGCCCTTGTGAACCTCCCGATTAGAGAAGCGAGTGCTGCTCTTTCCTAGAAGTTTGACACGTCCCTTTGCAAGCGCTGGGAATGATCAGGTCTGATTTCTTTGGGATTGTGTCACGTAGCTGGTGTCTTGCATGAGTGAAAGTGCTAGCTCTGGAAGAAACCTTCCTGTGAAGGGATGGGTACATGAGTGCCCATCATGTGCAGGCTCTTGGTTGTAGAGTAAGAGAAGAGCCCCCTGCTTTGGTGGTGTGATAGTAAGAGGGAAAATGAGGTTATTTTATCCTAGCTGATCAGTTGTATTTTTCAAAAGTCTATCTCTGAGGCCAGTATAATCCTGCTGAAGGTGGATGAAATCAGCTAGTTACCAGGCCACACAAAGCTTAAAGCTTAAAACTCTTCCCCATATGAAATCAGGCTCCAAATGCTAGACAGCAGCTTTATTAACTTTCCATCTGAACTGTCTACAACCAGTCGGCTGCATGCGGCGCATGCACAGAAAGCTTTCTGTGACCTACATACACTTGGAAGGTGAAGTTTTAATGCAGTGACTGCCAAAGAGCCCTGTGCCTCTGTGGAATGTAACTCACCATAAATGCACCAGTTTCTTGTTGACCTTCAGCATCTCTGCAAAACTCATTGCTGCCTCATCATCCAAGTCATTTTTAGTCAACCTAAGTGGGAGAGAACATGTTCTCGTAGGATGTTATCATTGTTTTACAGCTCTGTGTTTTTCCAGCCTGTCTGTGACTTAACTTCTGATAGCCAAAAAGGCATGTGCTGATTCTGCCCTAAGCGGTTTCGAAAGGCTGGGAACAAAGAGGCTTAAAGAGAAGCCCTGCAGGTAGGAGAGACAAGAATGCTGGATCTTTACTTCTCAGAGCAGTCATCTGTTGATGCTTTCTCACAATGTTAAGGTGACTAAAAAGTAGAAGGAGACTAAAAGGTTAAGCTGTTAAGGTGACTAGAAGATGGTAGAGACAGCACTGAAGAAGTGGGAAGACTGTGAGGACAGTGAACTGGATTTCACGTGATGGAAGTGCGAGAAGATGGGGAATCCGAGGTGTAGGGAGGAGAAAGAAGCATGAGCCAGGAACGCACAGAGGGAATTGAGGAGCCAAAGCTCAATATGTGCGAGGCAAAAGCAGAGTCAGAGGGATTAAATCACTGCTTTCAGTCAACTGTCTGCAGAGGCACTAGGAGAGCCCCTGCCCCCTTCAGTCTAACATCAATCAATCTTTCCGCAGGTCAGCGTGATGTGCAGATCCCAGTGTGCCCCCTCTGTGGTTGCCACAGGAAAGTGCAAAAGTGCAAAATGCAGGACAGGCCTCTGTGCAAGGGGCCGGTGAGCAGCACAGAGGAGTGTAGGCAACCATCAGGAGTCATGAATTCCCTCTGCAGACCTCGGCACCTTCACTGCACGCAGGTTTAAGCTGTGCGGCTGCAACGCTTGCAGAGCACTGTGTGAAGGGCGTGCTCTGCTCCCCAGGCAATCTGGAGAGCCCCCGAGCTAGAGCTGCCTCCCCGAGCGCCGGTGCAGAGGGCAGGGTATCCTACAGTAGCATAATAAGGCCTGTGGGAACACAGGGAGTTCACATTACACAGGCACCTTCCCACAGCACCACTAGCAAGCGTACCGTGGCCTCACAAGCAGGGAAGTATCAGCTTTGCAGGCCAAGAATCCACTCAAGAGATGCAACTCCCTTGGCTTTCCCAGCATGTGGGGCCATCCCAGGTCTGCCCAACTCCTGCCCATGCAGACAGAAATAAATTAAGAGCAGCTTCTTCCCCTCTTCCCTCTAGAGACACCCTGGTTACTGCCTTTTCTCATTTCACCCTCTATTTTCCTCATGCAGTCAAGAGTAGAAATCTCCCCAGCAAGAACCAGGTACTTCCCAATCCGTGCAGCAAAATGAAGAAGTGGCTATAGCGATGACTGAAAAAAAGCATACGCAACAGGAGGAAGGAGAGAAGGAGAAGAGGAGGGTGGGTTTGGGTTTGGAGGATGTACAGTTCGGCGGCAGCTTTCCCAGAGGAAGAGGAGAAGCGGGAGGTCACAGGGCTCTCACCAGAATATCCTCACGGAGTCGTTGTGCTGCATGGCCTCAGCGATGCACTTGCCTCCCTCTGTTGTGATGCCGTTGAACGCGAGGCTGCGGAGTGAACGGCAGAGACAGGGCACGGTGAGAAATGGCTGGCACAACCTGGCCTGGTTTTACAGGTGGGAACAGTCCGTAGGCTGCAGCCCAAGTCTATCCTGCAGGTTTCCCACCCTGGAGCTGTACTGGGCTGGAAGCAGAGTTGTCACCAGGGATTTTGGAAGCTGTGGCTTTTTATAAGGAGAGGAGGTTGTGTTCATTAGGCCACAGGTTTGCACATGCATTTACCATCCCAACTCCCCCCACACACTGAGCACTTTGTCCTTCAGGTCGACTCCTACAGACCTCATTTGTCTTCCGACCACAACACCTGCTCTGATATAAGTAGGGAGATGAGCTTGTAAATGCAAACCACAAGTGTTTCCTGGGCTGCCCCTCGTTCTTTGAATAGGCAGTGGCAAAAACATCCAGCTAGTGTTATGCTCCAGGCTTTGGGTGTTCAAAAAGCAGCTTCCCTTTTACAAGTCAGGTCAGAGCCTGAAAATAGTGCAAGGCCTAAGACAAAAAAAGGGGAAAGGAGGTGGGAGACGAGTGAGGCAAAGGCCTGTCTAACTATGGCACAAGTGTGTGTTAGTCCAAGTCCCTGCTAACTGCAGCAGACACTGGAGATCCTCTGTCCCTTACAATTGGGCCTAAAAATGGCAATCACACTAAAATAAACTGATGCAGCAGTGACTATCGTCCCTTAATCTCTGTATAAAGCTTCCACCGGTGCAAACTAGGCATTCAAAATCAGGGAGCCAGACTGAGCAGCAGGAGATAAGGAGCGAACTCCAGTGCAAGTACAGAATGGCAGGAGCAGCAGATCCTCCCTGCACAGGCACCAGCAAAACCTGGCTCTTATTTTTGGCACAGCCATTCACCAGCACGTTTGCCACAGGCTGAGGCATAACCCAGAGCCCGTTCAGCCTCAGACTGTTTTCTTCCCAGCCTGGTGCATCTGCCTGGATTCTGCGCTGAGCGGAAGGCGCCTGTTTCCGCTAGCTTGGGAATTTTAGCAGATCCAGGTCACTGCACCTGTTCGGCTTTTAATTTTTTAAGCCCTGCTACCTGCTTGCAGGATGGAAGACAAGGCGCCCGCCCGGAATCCGCCGGCTCCGAAGCAGCAACAATAAGCTCTCCAGAGATCCCGGAACTCCCTAAATTCCGCGTTTCTCAAGAACAGCAGCGCCTTGTGCCACCTTGTGGGGAAACCCAGGAGCCCGGCGTGCTCCCTCCGTCCCCGTGGGGACCCGGGGCTCCCACTCGGAGCCTTTCGGGAGGCTACGCCGGGGCTCACCAGGCTCCCGCGCCACCCACGGCTCATTGCTGTGGAGTTCAGGGAGCAGCAGCATCACAGGGAGTGATGGAGAGCCGGATTTTCCGAACACGCCAGGCCCTGCGCGCGGCGGGAGCACAGGGACACAAGGAGCGGTGTCCGCCTGTCCTTTACCTCACGTTGGTGAGCCTGGGGTGGTTCCGCAGGGCCTCTGCAAACGCCTTGGCTCCTTCGTCCCCAACTTGGTTACCCCACATCCTGGCAAGAGAGGAAACCTGGAGGTAGCCCTTTTTTTCTTTGTTTTCAACAGAGATCATGTCTTGATGACTCAGAGCCACCTTCAGCCCAATGGGTAATTAGTTGGCAGCTGTTTTAAAATCAATTGAGCTTTGTGGTATCTAAACATCATCATTTCCAGTAAGCCCCACAATTTCCTTGCCCTTCAGACCCAACACAGTTTGTTAGGCAAAAAATGAGCATTTTCTGTTTCAACGTTTCTATCCAAGCTATCCTCAACCCATTCTGGGTGATTATTTTCTCCAAAGGAGAAAACAGAGATTCTCCATTGAAATTACAGCGCGTATAAAGGACCCCAACTAGGTGACAACAGAAGTTTGTATGCTGTTGGCAATGCTTAGGAAATGCTATAGCATAAAAAAGGCCAAAATCTGATTGTTCAAATATGATTCTGACATTGGAGAGTTATTGGGATATTTGCAATGGCCAACAGAGGTTTCAATTACATGTATTCGAGTATTAGATTCTGAGAAGAATATCCTCATGTACAGCAGAAAGAGAAACCAGGAACAAAACAATTATCAGACTCTCAAGTTTAGCAACTCTCCTAAAAAAGGGCACAGGGATTAACGGTTTTGAGGACATTCAGAGCTCTCTCAAACAACTTTGCTCTCTCATATAGACGGGGGAGAAGGATAATGGAAATTCCTTCTTACTCTCACAGCTCTCAACTTGATCAGAACTCGATGTAAGAGATTTGGCCATCTTAACCCTGACACTGAATAACTAGGTACATTGCAAGCAGTCATAAAAACCACTCAGATTTTTAAAAATGGATCAAGTTGCTATAAAGTGGCTGTGTTGTTGTAAGGAAAATAGCTATCTTTACATTCTGCCCTCTTGTCAATTTGTCTCACCTTCAAGGTTCTGTCAGAACAGGAAAAACATGTGAGGAAGAAAAAAAAAAAGCAGTAAAACAGCCCTGGTTTGTTCTGTTGCCACTAGGAGAAGGAAGGAATGGGGAAGGGAAGGCAGGTACAAATGAAAGAAACGATCCCGAAGGATATACAGAAGCCTTGACAAAAGCAAGCCGTGAGCTCTGCCCCTTAGCACCAAACTTACCCGATTTCAAACATCTTTTTGTTCTTCTGTATGGCCTGGGCAAGGCACTTCCCTCCTTCACTGGTTATTTTGTTTGCTCCTATTCTGCATAAAACACATGGATTCATGAGAAACATCACTTATAACAGCTAGCCCGGAAAATGATGAATGTATTTCAGGCCAGTTAACTCAGGAGGCCACTTAGAATTACCCAAGATTAACTTAGAATACAAAACGTTGAAGGCGCCTGACCTTTTGTGCTGCCTTTTATGCAGGTTGTTCAGAGTCTGCATTCTTGTACATCAGTCCTCCAAGTCACAAATATTGCCACAGGGTCTCATTTTTGGTTCTCAGTGTGTCAGAAAGGAGCCTTAGGAATCGATCCGCGGGACAAGGAACCCTGCCTGGTTTCTAATACAATTTATAATATCCCCAGCCAGCACAGAGGGCATGACTTATACAGAGCATGTTTCCTGATGGTCCATGGAACAGGACAGTTCTTGGCAATGTGGCTCCAGTGGGCTCTGTGGGAATATCATATGACTGGAGTTCAAGAAAGGACTAAGTCTCAATTGCATATGCATTGATGTAAAGAACAAGTCCACTACCATCACGTAAATCAAAACTGTCTTTGACTACAGACACAGGCCCTCTGGGTCAAAACAATCTGAGGGCTTAATATGTAACCTGAAAGTCACCATCCTCTGCAAGGGTTGTTTTGTAGAGCTTATAAGACATTAAACAACGCATAAATACGGTGCCAAGGGAGCTGAGGAGCCACCAGAGCACCGTGGGCTTTCCAAGCTCCCTGCTGAAGCAGGGATTTCAAGCGGGATGGATGTGGTCAGGGCCTGGGTTCAGAGCAGGTTAGCAGTGAAACAAAGAGCAGAGCCCCAAAGTGCCCGGCTGCCAGCGCTGCCCTCACACCAGCAGCTGACACCGCTGCAGTTACCTCTGTTTTCTGCTACAGGCATAATTAAAACTCTGGTTAATGATCTCCCTCTGAGTCAAACTGGTGTTGTGCCCGGCTGGACACTTCCAGCAGGGAAATTCCAAGAATTAATGGGTACGACTTAGCGAGTGAATTTGGGGAATTCGTAAACTGAGGTAGTGCGCTGGCACAGCCTGATTCCAGCTCCCCCAAAGGCTGGGAATAAAGCAGCTTGCTATAAATTACATATGTGTCTACCTTTTACAAAGGCCTGCAAAGTTCATACACCCTTTAAGCCTCACTCAAATACTCTGACTGGGTTTAAGTGAAGAGTAGACCTTGCACTTTTGCTTACAGCTACATCCTACTTGTAGCCCAAGCAGTCTTTAGTAAGGATTATGGACTCAGGAGGTTCACTTGTGGCCATCACTGCCAGGCTACTGTAAAAGAGCATGTAACTACAACTTAAGCTATATTTTATTTGAAATATAATCCTTTTCACTCTCTCTTCCTTTGAAGTTGCTTTATCCTTAATTATGATTCTGCAGAAGCATAAAGAGAAAAAAAAATCCAACATACTTCACATATTCAAGGCTTGCACATTCTTCAATTAGCTTTGCAACATATTTGGCTCCAACATCAGTGATCTGATTGTTGTATAAGCTGGAAGAAAAATCACATTGGTAAAACTAGGTTACCCATGCAGTTACTTTAATATTTACATCCTGAATGTTTTATAATGCATACGCAGCATCTATCTTTTTTTGTGTGGGTTTGTACCTACTCACAATTGCTTGCACTTCCATTTTGATGTAGCATTAATACTTTGAAGGGCTTTAAAGTACTCTAAAGTACAAGGAGACCAGATCGCAATTCATGGGAAAATATTTAAATAGTTTCTCTTAAATAAATAGTCTCCTCAGGCAAACAAAGCTTCCCTTTATTCCAATGTTAGCAGAAATAATATTGCATAAGTCAGGAGAGAAGTCAGGAAAAAAATGTTTCCAGTCTTTTAGAAGTCATAAAATCCCCTTGCAAATATTACTGAGGATCTCAGCACATGCACTTACCGTGAGGCACTGGAGGAAGGGCACAATCCTTGGCATTCATGCTTAAATATCAAAAAATCATTTTTACATAACTGCTTAACCAAGAACGGGCAGTCAGGGCTGAGAGGCCTCCTAGTTTCTGCTTGATGAAGAGCTCATTAAAGTCTTAAAAAGTCTGTAGTTTATACATGATAATTATGACTGCCCAGAAGGGACAATGACACCCTGAGACAGCCCGTTCCTGAGCCTCAGTCAGCATCCCGCTGCATCGACTTTGCCTATTCCAAATAAATCCATTTGCAGCAGAGCAAGTGGAAGGCTCTGCTCTATGGGGCGCTTCACCTGCCCTTCAGCAACCCCACAGCGACCCACACTGTGTCAGGGGAGGGCCTGGCTCCAAAGTCCCCTGCCTTTGCAGTGACAGCCCCGTGGCCTTGCAGCTTCATTGCTCAGCAGCAGGATCCTAGCAGTGTTCTGTTCCCAATGGGCACGTACCCCAGAAAGGTCACAATCTGGTACTTGGAGAGTTCTTCATACAGGATCCTGACTCCGTGATCCGTGATTTGATTTACACTGAGCCTGAAATGAGAGGAAAGGAGGCAGCGTCTGAATCATCAGAGCTTGCAAGTAAGTGTTCCTCACCCACGAGTTAATGAATGACTGGAGATCTGTGCATTTCCCCCTGACAATTTCAATAGCTCCTTATGCCACATATAAAAAGCCATTAAGGGAAATGCGGACTCAGTTGTACATGGTTCACTCTGCAAACAAAGCAGACATCCCCACATCTCCCAGGCTCTGTTCTGGACACTGTCCATAGGGGGTGAAAACAAAACGCAATCGGTTGGAAACCAGAGGCAAAAACTCCATCCTCCTCCCAGGCTGCTCCCACCCTGGGAGCAAATGCAGAAGGAAATTGTAACTGGTTTCCTAAGAAAAGCAAGTTTTGCAGCCTCTCTTCTTGCAGCCTTCTCTCTGGGTGCCCAGTGGAAACCAGCATCTCGAAGGCCACCTCACATTGAGGCTGTGCTGGCTAAAGGTGGTAAAGAGCTCTGGCCAGGAGCTGGAACTGCAGTCCCGAGGGCCTGCTGAACGTTTCTGATTTTACTGTCCCAATCCGACACAAATCAACGCATCAGTCATTCACGGAATAAAAATACTTCTTTTCATAATGCTAAAAAAAAATAAGAAAACCTTCTAAAGATGTTTCCCCTTAGCCAAATGGACTTGTTCCCATGAAATATTTCAAGTCTGATGAATTATATTTTCTAGGAAAAAATGTCCCAGTGGAAATATTTTGACCAGCTTTAGTTTCAACACAATTCTAAGGCTGAACATTTACTGCTGAGAGTTCCTTAGCACCAGCACCCTCCCTGGCTCTCTCTGGTTAGTAACTTGTTCCCCCTAAAATGCACCAACACGTAGGAGGAATCAGAGGCAGCTTCTCTGCAGATCACAGCAGCCTCTTTCAAAAGGTTGAATGGAGAAATTAGATTAAACCAGTAGAAACAGCATTTTCTGTCCTGCAGAAATTGGCCATTAAAAATGAAAGTCCTAACAACAGGAAGAGCCCCAAAGGTCAAAAGGAACAGACTGGTTTGGAGCCGAAGATGGTGTTAAGACCACACTGCGTGTGCCATGATCCTGTAGTATGGACAGAGAATGGAAGATTGCAATTTTCTTCCTTCCCTTATCTTACATACTTATGCCTTTTTATTCCCAGGTTCCCATATTCCGCTCTCTTGGAAAGTCAGTTGTTTGCAATTAACGGGGAAGAAACAGAGTCACTTGCTTTGATTTATGAAAGGCTTCTAGAGAAAAAAAAAGTAGATACGAGTCAATTAGGAGGAGTAAGTCCAGTTTAAAAAGGGGAAGTTGAACAGGGCTGAAGTAAATGCATTTTAAAAGTTTTCAGTTTTTATAAATACCTGGTTTGTCTCAACATTCAGGTGCAGAACTCCAAAGGTTCTCCATGGCCTGAACCCCAAGGGACTGTAGGTGGCCAAATCTGACCCGAGGGAGGTGTCAGTCCCCTCTGGTTATGCCAGGCCATGTCCTCCCTCATGGAAATACCACAGCTAGTTCTGCAGCTGCACCCTTGGCAGAGAACGCTTTTGATCTGCCAAAGCCGGGCTCCCATGTGGGATGTAAATGCAAGAACTGAGCAGTTTTTTGATCAGGGCTTGCTGTGAAGGGTAGATCCTCTCTGAACACATATATTCAAGGCTGCAGATAGACTTGGGCAATCTTCGAGTAAAGTATGAAGTATTTAAGTTTTCTTTTTTCTCCTTTCCCTTAAGATCTTTTTCCCTTAAAAATCCTCTTTGGGGACAAAATAATTTGAGATGGAGGTAACTAAATCTATAGGTATAAATAGTTCAGGCTTCTAAGGACTTCTTACCACTATCCCCACTAAAATTTAAGCTTGTCCCTGCTGCTGTGAGCAGTAAATGAACAAATATTTCAAAAGATTTGATGCCGGTCAACTCTGAGATAGTCAGGTGTCTAATGCAAATTGTGCCACGTGTCCAGTGTTTGGCTCCAGCTCTCAGGGCCAAAAGGAAGGACCTCAGTTCCTGGCAGCAGTGAGACTCCTCACCCCGCTCACACTTGGAGCTGCCTTGCTCTGCTCCAGCGATCAGTAAGTGGGACACACCAGGGACCAGCGAGGACCCTCTTGCACAGCCTCCTACCTGATCACGGCGAGTTTGCTGAAGCAAGGCAGCAGCTCTTTCACTCCGTAGTCGTTGATGTTGTTGTTGTCCAGATCGAGGCCCAGGCGCTTCTGGACGTGGTGCATCACGAAGGCGAGAGCGCTGCAGTCGCCGGAGTAGGCGTTGCAGTAGGTGAGCTTGATGTAGTTGGCACGCATGCACTTGGCAGCCAGCTTGCTCACCTTCTGGCTCTGCGTCTCGTAAAGGCACCGCAGCATCCACACAAAGTTGGGCTGCACCTGGATCTGATAGTAGTTTGGAAACCTGGAGCGAGTGAGGTTTTTAAGGTGGGCTTTCATGCTCTCCCCAAGGTATGTGAAGAGCGTCTTTCTCTTCCTCTTAATGACTGCGGGCAGAACTAAATGCCTGAGGAGCTTCTGCCTGGATCTGGAAAGCAGGCCACAAAGAAAAAGGTTGGTGAAGTGAAAATGTTCGTTATTTCGGAAGGGATCCTCCCCTGCCAGTGGTTTTCTCAGCCAAGGAATACGTAGGCAAGTAGACTGGGTGGTGCTGGTGGAAGAGGATTCATTGAAAAACTTAAGCAATTGCTTGGAACTCACTTTCTCTTCTATGACCAGGAACAAAGCTGTGAAAAAAGACTGAAGGGTTAAGTGCAAGAACTCGTAAATGGACTGACCTTCACAGCCACTGTAATTCTGAACTGTCCTGAGAAAGCCCAATTGCAAATCCTCCTCAGAAATGTTCACTGATGAGACCTCCTCCTGCTCAAAGATAAACAAGGAGTTCTGCATCCCTTTGTATGCAATTTCGCCCAAAGCCAGAAGAGATTCCTTTCTTGACCTGAATGTCTCTGCCTGGCTCCTGGTGTTGTTCTTCAGCAAACTCATTTTCAGAGATCGGTTCAGATGGACTTCAATCATGACCAAAAATACATCCGTCAATGTAACAGAGCAGTCTGGAATTTCATGGCTGTCAAACACGGAATGGAAGTGTTCATAGCACTTAAAGATAATCCAACAAAATAAAGGCACTGAACACAAACTGCAGAGACTGGGGTTAGCTTCCAGTTGGTTCAACACGAGTGTTCGCTGCCCCTCGTCCTTGAAAAACATGGCAGTGTATTCCTTCAGGTTACTGCTGGAGAAGCCACGGAGCAGCACTTTCTTCCTAATGATGTTTCTTTGGATCTCAGTTCCTGTTCTCGCCGTAAGAATTTTCCTGGCTCCCTTCAGCAGCTTTCCTCTGAGGAGGTTTACCAGCAGCACCAGGGGATGGATCGGCTCGGTGGGTGAGCACATCTCGGGAACGCTGCCAAGATCAAAGTTAGAGTAGATCTCATCGAAGCCATCAAACGTGAAAAGAACGGTATGAGGGAAGTGCAGGATGTGACGGAACACCTCCGCGGGGTCCTGGTCGGGGTAGCAGTTGTATTTGAACAAAAGGTCTTTCAAGCACATGGCCTCATTTTCTTTAAAGCAACTAAACATCCTGCATCGGAAACGGAAAAAAAATTTGGCCCCTATATCCAACTCGTGCCTGGCCCAAAGGCTTTGGATCTTCTGCAGCATGATGGACTTTCCAATTCCTGCATCACCGTAGACATAGATGGTTTCTCCATCTTCATTAATTAGCCCAACAGTGTCATCAAAAAGGGCTTCTAGCTGGGACACTTTGCCTAGGCTCTCGTTGGTAAAGCTGAGCAGCTCCATAATATTGTTAGAGTAGATTTCCTCAAGCAGCATCTCTTCCCTCTGCGCGTACGACATGACAAACTTGGAGTCCCGGCCCAGTTCATGTCGGAGTTTCTGACAATACCTGCTAACTAAAAAGACAGTGAACTATTATTTACAAAGAGACCAAAGCCAAAGTATATGACCTTTTCTTTGGGAACAGTCTTCACATAGGAGACCTTCAGGAAAAATCCAGGTGCTAATGAGAGAGAAATGGGAGAGTGGCCATAACCTCAAGCCCTTCCACTGCATGAAGGAAAGGCCATCTTCTAGATGGGACCCAATGCGAGGCCCTGACCTCCTTGTTACAGACTCTGTCTTACTCTCTTTGAAGGTAAGAGGGCAGATTAGTGCCCCCAGATCGTGGCATCTGCCTTCTTGCTCCAGCTGAAGCTTACCTAAGGTAGGTGGTTATGGATTCCTGTTTGTTTCATAATTTTTATTTTTGCCATTAAAAGGCATGTGTTTTAGAACTCAGGCCCCAGACACTTCAAAATGACTTTTTTTTAAGGTGGTACGACAGTAAAAGTCATTATTACCGTGCAATGTTAGCATGTGCTTTCATTGCAATTGGATCTTCACTTCAGATGGGGTAAAGTGATTCTTGCACAGATGTAGCATAAAAAAATCCTCTTGAGAAAGGTATGTATTCCTGCAGTATTTTAATTCTTAATATTGAATTATTTTGACTCCAAATCTCTTCTAGGAACATAGAATAATTCAGGCTGGAAGGTACTTCAGGAGGTGTCTAGTGCAACATCCTTCCCCAAGCAGGGTCAGCTCTCCCATCAGACCAGGTTATCCAGGGCGTTTTCCAGACAGGTCTGGAAAACCTCCAAGGATGGCGACTGCCCAGCCTCTCTGGGCAACCTGCTCATGGTGAATATTGACTCTTCCATTGTCAAACCATCACAGGGTTGTTAACACACCATAGCAAAGCCCTAGACAACACCACAACAGGCGTAAGGTGGAAACACCGCTGCGTCCGCAAAGAGCCGCAGAGAGGGCAGACTTGAGCAGAACAGGAGATATTTCAGCATGACTATTGTATTATACAGTGGATTATCTACCTTTTAATTACTTGGCTATGACAGCAAACAGAGCTTAAGCACATTTATTTTCTCCAGCTGTGCCTGCCTGGACTCTGTTACCCTCCTGTCCCCTGGTCAGAGTTTCCCACATGGCAGGGTAGTTGGAAAGAAAGGGATTTAGCTGCATTTCCTTACCTGGATCTGTATTTTCCACAGGTTTACCACGAATATTCTCTGAAGGCTGGTAACCTATTTCATCCAACCAAGGCTGAAGCTCATAATAAGCATCCGTGACTTTCTGCAGCACATGGATGAAATATTCGGAAACTTCTTCTCCCTTGCTTTGAACCAAGTCTAGAATTTTGCGCACCTGAAGAAACACCATGTGTCACTGATGTGCAGTTATTTTATCACAGTTACACTTCCAGACTGCTTTAGGATGCTTTTAGGACTGGAGCAGGGGACCAGAATTGAAACCAGTACTAGGGAAAATTCAATTCAAAATTTAGTTCTGAATTTGAACCATCACAAAAATCTCTTCCCGTTTGCCTTGATGTTGAGAAAAGGTCAGTTCTGGAAGTTAAGGTCTGAACTAGTAGAAAAATGTTGACACTAGCCTCAAAGAAAACAAACAGTAGGAATCTCCAAGGATTTCTCCAGTCTGGCTGGAGACTGCAACTGGAAAGTGTATTTTAAATATCCTGCTGGTGAATATAAAAAGAAAGAGGTGGTTGCTCAGTGCCCTAAATTCATCCTCTGACTTGTGAGTATCCTAGTCACATTTAGGTTTGCCACAGGGTCCAGCCAGATCCAAAGTGGATAGATAGAATGTCCCTATATGTCCCCAATGCAGATCCAGATACCTAGATTGATCATGTGCTTTTAAACACAGCAATTCAATGCCGCAGGTTCTTCTACTATGATGGACCTATCACCTAGGATTATTGCCAAAATTAATGGGTGCCAAATAGTAGAAGCTGGAGCAGCTTGGAGCTAGCTCACTACCGATAGAGACAGGGCAGAGTCTGTTCTTTGAGCAGACTTTTAGTGTGTGACAAACCTCTACCCGACACATCAATCATCTGGGAGACCTATTTTGAATATCTGGATACTCTTTTTGCTGCAGATTAATCAAGAATTCACTTCTGAAGCAGACAAAAGGTTTCCAGAGCCTGTGGTCTCCTGGAACCTTAAAGCAGGATGAAGCATCCACGGCAGAGCAAAAAAAAAGAAAGTAGTTTTTGAACCAAGCCCCCGGGAAACAGGAATAAGTGGAAAGAAACAAGAGGCACCAGCTTTCTGGTGAGACCAAAGGGGTACCTTATCTGCTTGAGTTGGAAACTGGGCAACAATCTCAGCATCTTCAGCGGAGAAGTAGTCATTCTTGAGCAAGTTGTCAAGGAGGCACTGCGTGTTTCGGACCGTGCTGACCAGCAGCTCCCGGTGCACCTTGAGCAGGGCAATGCAGGACGGAGGACTCGGCGCCGCAGATTTTCCAGGGAGGATCCCCAGGCTAGGGCAAGGCTGGCCCTCCATGGCTGAGGTGGCGAGAGGCCCCTCTCCCTAGCCTCATCTCTGACGAACCATCCGTGGGGAGCGCGGCATCAGCTCGGCGGGACCCCCTGCGAAACAGGCAGCTCGTCCTTGACGGTGCCGAGACTGTAAAACCTAGTTGCCCTGAGCCCCAATTTAGGCATTAATCTGCACAGAAACATCCTCTGACTAGCAATCGGATAGAACTTGCAGTCTCTGCATAATGCCAGCTTTATTCAAAAGCATTCTCATTTCTTCCTGAGGTATTTCCCTTCATTTTGGGGAGTTTTGGAAAAAAAAAATATACCCGCTGCAGGTAGTCTCCTCTGTGATACAAAAATGCTTTACTAAGCTTGCCTCAAACACCACCATTGGCGGCTGCTTTATTAGCTGTCTCTTCTCAGTGCATAATTGAATGGCTTTTATTAGCTTTTCATTTTTCAATAGACAAAACAGGGCATCTGTCCAAACATAGCAGAACAAGGGAAAAGTGGATTAAAACTATACTTCTTAGCAATTAATTTTGTAGGAATTAATTTATGGCAGCCGTTCCCTTTGCTGCTTCTTTATTATAAGAACTGGCCCCGTGTAAAATTTTGCCAGCACGATAACTGTCCCCGTAGGGGAGGCTTTGTGAGCCCAGAGGCTCTTTTAGCTAAACGAAGAAAGAGGGTTTCAGGTCAGGGCAGTATGAGACTGTGGAAAACCCACTGAGCAGCTGCTGGTGTCAAGGGGGCCACGAGCAAAATGAGGCTAATGGTGAAACACCACTTAGAGGCAGAGAGCACTTCCTACCTCTTACGTTGCTGTCTGAGATAGCATGTAAAACAGGGAAAATGCCACTTCATTGGCTTAAGTGGGTTAATTTTATCACAGCTAGAGCTAGGAATATAGCTTTTCTCAACCTGAAAAATAACAATATCACAGCAAGAACTGCTATTAGCATTGCAAATGTATAAGACCTCATCTCCAGGGATTCCAGGGAAAGAAATCAGGACCTCTACTTGTGCAGGAATTGCATAGAATATCCAAATTTATGGGCTTTTCCCTCTAAATGATGAGCTAGGCCTGGAATACAGGTAAGTCAGGACAATTCCTGTTCATTGCTGGTTTGGGCATCTGACTCACCCCTGTCTTCACAGAGCCAAAGGACTGTGCATGCTACGGCTCATCATGAAGATGCCAGTTTGAAAACCTATGCAAAAGTTATGCCTGAATGTCTCACCTCAGCACCTAGAGCCACGGTAATTCAGACAGCTGTGTGCTCAGCTCTGGAAATATTGCTTAGAAATGGTACGGCTTAGCATGCCTCCCTTCATGCCTACACAAACATACATATATATATTCGTATATATATTTATGAGCATTGGGCATGCCCCCATCCTCTATACCAGCTCTGGGGCGCTCTTTTTAACTGCCTATTTATTGCCACTTTTCTTTGCAAGCCATGAAGCAGTAGGAACAAGGAGCAAATCCCTCCCTAGTGGATTAACGAATTTTCTTTCTTTTTTTGAATTCCAGATAATATAACCACAGAGTAGGCACGAAGCTACACTAATCCCAATTCAAAACGTTTTCCTTGAGCTACTGTTCAGGTTCAGGCTCTGCACATACGATTCCCCGTGCACCAAGGAGGCTTCTTACAAGATGACTACCGAGTCACCCCTGCATAAGAGCTGAGAATTTGCCTGACTGACGTGGGTTATTGGCACTCTGCAGCAGCGGGTGAAAAGCAGAGCTGACACGGCAGCTCCAGGGAGGTTTGGAAGAACATTCTTAGATTTTGTACTACTGTCATATTACAAAAACAAACCATTCTTCAAGAAGTCTGTAAGGGCGCCAGCTCTGCTGCTTCAAAACGCCTGCAATTTCCCAGGGCATTTACAGTGCCGGCAAACTTTCCAACTCCTCGACAAGCTGTAAACTGGTCCCATGAGGTTTTTCCCACTGGTCCCTATGGGGTTTTCACCCCCAAAGCTGCAGTCTGCATGGGGGCAGCTTGCGCTGCTTGCAGCTGCAGGAAGACACAGTTCAGGCTATTGCATTTTAGTGGCACGACCACTAAAATGTCACGGTCTGCACGGGTGACCACAGTGCAGACCGTGTCCTCGGATGCCAAGGAACCAAGAGGTCCCAACTCACAGCTGCTGATCTGCACGGATTGGGAGAGCTATGTGGAGAGAAGAGCCTTTGGATGGCTGTGACCAGGCAAATCCTTGGTGAAACCATTTGGGATTGAGGCCAACTAAAAACTACTCAACTCCTTTAACCGCATGGAATGTAACCAAGTGGCCTGACTTTCTCATCACATGAGTGAGGGACTGCACGTACCCAGACAAATCTATCTTTCATTGCACTATTCACATGACCCACCAGATGAAGTGGCTGGTTTCTGAGTCACAGAAAGCCCCACAGGCACAGCTCTTTGTTCAGGAAAGCTCATTTCATAAATGAACTTTACCATGAGGACCAAACAACGATGAAAACATCAATTACTCTAAAGCTCTTGAAAAGCTTTAGTTAAAGAGACAGAATCACCTTAAAACACAAGGCAAAAGAAAGATTAAACCTTTTCTTTCAAGATATTGTATCTACCCAACATTTCTTCCTTGCTTTTGCTGTTCTAGGGCTACCTTTTACTAATGCCTTGAATTTCTTCCTCATCTGTGGGAAAAAGTGAGGCAGACACCCACGAAACTGTAGTATTGAACCAAAGTGGTGTCACCTGCACAGAATAAAGAAAAACATTTTCTTTACTCTTTCACATCCATCTACAAAGAGGCTAAGAAAAGAAAGAAAAAATAAAGCAAAAAGACAACGAAAGGAAAAACAAAACATGGGAAGACAAGATGGTCTAAGAAGAAAACACTTGGAAGACTGAAAGTCTCAAAGATGCCTTCACCCCATCTAGGTAAGTCCAGGACAGTAGGCAATTTGCTTGCTCTTGGAAGGGGTATACGTACGTGTGCTGCAGGAGACCATGTTCTCTTCCACACAGTGGGATCTGAAAACAGCAGAAAAACAAGAGAGAAGTCAAGGAAAAGAATACAAGGTGAGGCAAAGGACCAAGAGTGAAACTGCAGAGTGGGGAAGCCAGAGCTGGCAGTGTGAGGTCAGTGCACCATGACGTACTCAGTGATATTTTCAGTGGCAATATTAATTTTGAGAGAAAATAAAAAGAACATTCAATATTGCAGAAACCAGTAATTTACACACCTTTCTTTTAACAAAAAAATGGGAAATTTCCACTATCCATGGACTACAAAAAAGTAACACTGCATGAGTGACTAATGCCTTTGCTAGAGTTGGAACAAAAGTGCTTCCCGTCACATGCAGTTAATAGCGAGGCAGGTACATGCATGTTTGCAGCAAACTGCATCGGCACATAAAGAAACCTCAGGTCCTGCTTGGATTAATGGACACAGAAATTTCCCACAGTAGCAACCCTAGGTGCAAGAGCAGCTCCAAGCCCTGCTCAGCGTGGGAATCGTGGGGATGGCTTTGCTTCTTCTCCCGGGAAAGGCGCCCCTTGTCTGGGCGCTCCTAACATACACGGATCAGTTTTGCTACCTTCATTTCTTTAAAACACGAGGCCGGTGTGTTGACATCATGAAGGCTCTGACTTAGCCGTGTGTCCATCACCTCTTTCTCTGGGAAGAGCCTGGTGGTGGCTTATTGTGAGCCTTCTGATGGATCACACAACTACTGTGCGCTCAGTCTCTTTTTGCAAGGATCTCTCTGTTTTCCAGTGCCAGGCTGTGCACGTGCTATGCTTAAAGGTGAGCCCTAAATGTTTCTGCAGCTTAGCAATCCCTGCTGGAAGTACTCCTGATGTCCCCTCCACCTTATCTTGGCCTCTCCAGGTGCCAGGCTCAATTCCCGTGCAGTTCCAGTCACTGACAGGACATCAGTCCTTGTTAACACAGGATTAACGCATCGAGCCTAAAAACACTAATGCTGTGGAGAACCACTGCCTCGTTGAACAGCTCTTCTATTTCTGCACGGGCTAGGGAAGGAAACCGTCATTTGGGTGCCACCTTGAGCCTTTTAGGCTCCTCCTGAAGACATCCTTAAGATAAAGGGAGAGCGTCTGTTGCAACAGCAACAGCCTCTTACTACATCTCTTTAGAGAAATGAATACTAGTGCTGAGGTATGTGTGTGAAATATGCAGCTGACAGGCAGCAATATGGGGAAAAAGGGAAAAATTTTCCAAATCTGATACAGCAGCTGAAACAGCCCAAACCCTAAGGAGGAACCGAGAGAAATGACACCTGGATGAAGTAAGAGGGTGGTACGGGGAGGGAAGCGGGCAGAAATTTACACTGAAAACCCTTCCTCTTTGGGAACAGCATGGCGGTTTTGTTCATGTGGGGAGAAATAAAAAATAATGGCTTGCTCCCAAAGGAATGGCATCCTTGCCATGGATGTTGGAGAGGAAATACAGCTCCTCACATTGGGCAGAGCAGTCTTGGTCAAGCAAAGAGGAGAGAAAACCGACCCCAGGGCATTAAATAAAGCTAGAGAGCAGAGAGCTCCCCTGGAAACCCTAGCGGGAAAGAGGGGATAGGAAAAGGTCCTGGCCAAGAGGAGGGTCCGCAGGGATCTGAAGGACGTGAGGAGCCACAGAAAGGCTGTCAAGGGAGGCAGATGACCAGCCCGCATAACTGAGAGCAGCAAAGAAGAAGTCAGGGGGGTATCAGGGCAGGCATAAGGAGGGAAACGAAACAGGGAAGCGAAATCTGTTATGGAAAGAGGTACAGCAAAAGCACCAGTGCTTGCAGCAAGGTTCCACATTATCTGTGTCAATAAACGGCAGGGGCACCGACAGCAAAAGGCACTCTTATCCAGGGCTGCCTCTGACCGCCCTCTCTTTGCAAGCCCGGGGTGTTGTGCAACCCCTCGCACACGCTCACATTCCTTGGGGCCCTGCCCTCCTCACATCCTCTTTCTGCTAAGATCCCCACTAAGATCACTATCATGTTGCTAAGATCACTATCACTTTGTTGAGATCTCTATCACGTTGCTAAGATCACTAAGATCACTATCACTTTGCTAAGATCACTATCACTTTGCTAAGATCACTAAGATCTCTATCACTTTGCTAAGATCTCTATCCCCCCCACCAGCTGCTCTGCCCCCTGGGCCGACCCACCGCAAGTCTTTGGGCAGGGCAGGATGTGCCAGCTTAGGGCAGCCCTGATATTTATCACTGTGGGGTCCTCCTGAGGTCCTAAACGTGTCTGCTGCCCATAAAAAGGGGCTGAGGAACCTTAGGAGAGGTGAAAAAAAGCCCACATTTCTGCATGCGGATAAATGAATCATCTCTGAGAAACTGAAAATTCAGCCCATGTCACTTCATCTCTCCTTCCTGCCCAATCTGAACTGTGCCACAACAGCCAGTCCTTTAATATGTCAAATAAATAAGTGCATTTTCCCACAGCATTAGCTTTAGAGAGTTATTATTTCTGACTGTAATCACACTTTTAAAGGAACGTCAAGTGTTTTAGGTAGTACAAGAACAGTAAAACAGCAGACAGACATTGGAGGCAATTGGGTACACATATTTACGTGAAAAGTCTGCATGTCTGGGCGAGAAGCGACGCAACCTGCTTCCCAGAGGAAGGGAAAAAATAGGCTTTTATTTCCGTAACGCAAATGGTGCATTAGTGCAGTTTGCACAGAGTCCCCGTGCATCTTAATGATCTTAAATAATACTCTGTATCTGCTGTCAAGGCGCATTCATCACAGCCCAGTTTACAATCTCAGTGTAACTATTAGAATCGATGCTGCTTGTGTCAATAAACGTCCGGGGAGCCATATCCTAACTTCACACTAGCAGAAATCCATTAGGGCTCCTGCGGTTTTGTGTCGCTCGGGGTCACCGAGACCAGCAGCTCTCTGTGATTTTGTTTCTCTCTCCTTTGATTGCAGCAAAAGCTTCTGCAGCCATCCCTACTTGTCTGAAGAGCAGCAGGTATATTAAAAAAAGAAAAAAAGGGAAAAAATGTGGGTTATTTATCTCCGCAGAAGAGATGAGTGCTGCCCGCACCTGGTAGACTGAGTGGCTTTTGTATAGAATACTTGTATTTTTAGACAAATATTCATGTCCTGGGCAAGTTTTGCTGCTGCCTTTCCTAAAGAATAGTTTCTAAAGAATAGAATAGTTTCTATTTCCTAAAGAATAGCAAATAGAGCCTTACTTTCCAGATCGGGATGCATTAACAAATCACTGGGTCTTCCCGATAGATCCTTTCTGTTTGATCTCGGGAAAAACTTTAATAGGGAGCAGCCACTGCTAAAACACAAAGAAATTAGCTCCAATCACAGAGTTTTTTCTTAATTATTATTATTATTATTTTTTCTAGGAAAGAAGGATGGGAGGAACAATGTAACAGCACATCTAAAAGAAACGAAACTGCCTTCCCCCTCATTTCAGCTTTCGGTTTGTACTTCTGGTCTGTCACTAAAGCTGCCGGAGGATCTTTCCCGGTCCCCTTTACGTTAGGAAGCCGAGGCCGCTTGCTGGGACCTGGGCACATGGCACATGCTCGCGGGCAGCCCTCCCTTGCCTCGCTTCTCACATATATATATATATATACACACACACACACACATAAAATATATATGCTTTTCAAATCTGTTGCTCAAGAAAATGAAACTAAAATATAAAAATAAATAATTTTTTTTAAAAAAAAAAAGAAGTAAAGAAAAAGGAAAGAAGGGCTGAGACCTGCAAAGGTCCCTTGC